AAATGCTGGAGAGGACTTCAGCTGGAGACCAATAATTACTACTCTCAACAGCAACTTCAGAATCAAAGCCTCCATCGTCGTACATTTCCTGAAGATATTCAGACATTCTTTGATTGTCATGATTCAAGCAGCTATACTGAAACTGATGACATCATATTTGGTGATTTGTGCTCGATTGCTGCTCCAATTTTCCATTGTGAGCTTGATGCTTAGAAAATTTTTTTTCAACCCAAAAGTTTGGAAGAATAGAACTATGTTTATTTGGTAGATTCGGTTGTACCTTGGTTTTATAAGGTGTATAATCAAAATACATGATCAGCTATGAAAAAAACAGAGAGGCGTCAGGACAGGAATTCCAAAGAAAATCTTTGGGCAAGGGTAAACAAATGAGAGGATAAGATTCTTTCAATGATACTTACACTAGTATTTTCCTGCTTGTATGAAAATTTGCTATTTTTTTTATTGTTTTTATGTATTGTATCTACTCCCTCTGTTCGAAAATATAAAGTATTTTTTAAGGAGTTGAATGTTCAAAAATATAAAATATTTTTAATCTTTTAAAGTGTGATCATTGCATTTTTTTTCAAAATATCCCCATTGATAATGATTTTATATTTATTATAAAGTGTTTATTAGGGGTAAATATGAAAAGATAAATTAATTAAAAAATCAATAATTATTTTATTGGGGGATTAAATTCGATTAAAATATTTTATATTTTTAAACAAAAGGAGTATCATATTTTACATTTGTGAGGAAAGGAGAGGCATGCAATCTCATTCCAATTTTGATTTTTGCAACTTTATTCATGAGTCTGTTATCTTTTATACATATACACTATAAATTGGTTTAAAAACAAATCACACGAAAATTTACTTTATTGTTAAAATTAGGTAGAAATGAGTTTAATGACCTCTAAAGTACTCTATTATCAAAAAGGGACCAATACAATCTAAAATAACATGCCAGGATCTGAGTTATAATCCCATTCACATTTCATTGATAAATATTAAAATTCATTTCCCTTCTATATTTTAAACAAAAAAGTCCAATCTTCACCATTGTGATCAGTGCCAAAGCCCCAACAATCACTAAAGCCCTATTATTAACGGCCACTAAAGATCTTGCGACAATTGGTAATTCAGATTTTGACAATTTTTTCAAATCGTGTTCGAATGTTAACTAATTGTTTTTTAATATTAACAAGCTTTAGTTTTTATTTTGATAACTTATCTCACTACTTAGTCTTTGAATAGATAGTCTAGTAACAACTACTTGTTAAAGGTTAAATTATAACTTATCAGTATTTTAGGAATAAGTAGTCAATATTCATAGATCGTTGAAGAACAATTTATCAAATTTAAACTATAACTACTTAATATGTTTAAAAAGTAATTTACCAAAATCTAAAATACATTTTTTCAAATTGTAGACTACAACTTGTTACCGAAGCTCCTACACTAGTGATAGCAGCGGAGGGTTCAATGGTTTTTTTTAAAAAAAAAAATAGCAAAGTGCATTTTATTTATTCTTCCATGATATATAATAGCTTGTTCGACAAGTTCTTGAATTATTCCCTCTTAAAACTACTAAAAAATAATTCAGTACGTATATTAGTTTTGGCTCTATTAGGTAAAGAATAAACATGATTATTATTATCACTTCTTCTACTCATTTTCAAAATTTGTGATTATCATATCTAAAAAAAAAATTAAGACAATTATATTTAAACATAATATCTATCTATTCGTGTTTCTTCAATTAATATACAAATGCACCATCTTTCTTTTCTTTTCTTTTGGCCAACTATTGTGCGTCTTACTTTCGAACAACAAGTCCATGCTTCATGCGGTGATGTGCAAATCACATGTACACACATTTGTGTCACTATAAACATTGAGAAGGTAAAATAGAAAAAAAAAACGGTTTATTATTAAAAAAAACGTGGTTGATAAATGTCTAAATCTAAACCAAGAAGTCACACTAAATATTGATGAGTCAAGTAGACTGTTGGAAATATAGTTAAATTTGATTCTCACATAAAAGGTTCTATGAAATTAAGAGGAGACAAGTGTCATTGGCACCCCACCAAACATTAAAGTACTGAAAGCAAAATATAATACGCACTTACGTAGCGACTATATATCGTACATGTATAGGTGGCTAGGGTTAATTGAAACGTTTTTTTCTTTGCAAAATTACAACCAAGGACTATTGAAAGAATTTATTTACAAACAAGTACCAGATAATTTTGAAATTATGTTACATGATGAAGGCACAAAAATATAATTAATTTTTTAATACGAAAAGACAAAATTGCCTCTCAAATGTTTTTTTTGAAAAAAAAAGCTCCTCAACCATTGGCCACCGAAGCTTTGATGTAGGTGATTGGACCGCCCCACCAAACCGGCCATCTGAGCTTTGGTATCGATCATAAAATTGGCAAGGGAGGCAAGCCACTTTTTTTAAGGTGGCCAAGATGGGGTTTGAGCCCATATCCTCTTGGCTACCAAAAAAATTACCAGCCACTAGGTTAACAAATTCTTTTAATTATATAATGCAAAGTTTTATATATATTTAACTTTGTTTTCACTTTTCTATCAACATTTATCAAAAACTCAATGGTTACTTGTCATTTACAAATAATTACTTGTTAAATTACTAATGAGACTTGTTAAAAATTTTAATATGTACTGTTTTTTATAAATGTTTACTTGTTTTTTTACCAGGAATGACAAGTTTTCATTAGCAATTTAATAAGTAATCATTTGTGAGATAACAAGTCTCATTATTAGTTTTGAAAATTTCTCTTGATAATTTGATAAGTAAATTTTAGTAAAACAATAAGTTTCTATAAGCTTTTGGTAATAAAAACAAGTAAACATTTATAAAAAACACTCTATATTAAATTTCTTTGACAAGTTCCCATTGATAATTTAACAAGTAACCATTTGTGAAATGACAAATTCAATTACTAGCTTTGAAAATTTTTTTTCATAACTTGACAAGAAAATTTAGCAAAATAACAAGTTCCTATGAGTTTTTGACATGTAAAATTTTAATAATAAAAAAATAAACATTTATAAAACCCACTCCATATTAAATTTCTTTAACAAGTCTCCGTTAATAATTAACAAGTAATCATTTGTGAAATAAAAAGTTTGAAAATATGGACCTTCAGCGGCAGGTGGTTGAGGAGTTTTTTTTTAAATTGAGAGTACTTTTATCTTTTTACATTAAAAATTAATTATGTTTTGGTTCCTCAATCCTGTAGCATAATTTCAAAATCATTTGATATTTATCTGTAAATAAATTCCTCCAACAGGTTGTATTTTTCCTTTTTTCCTGTTTGGATACAAATTGAAAGGTTTTGTAATTACAATCTAGGGTGCGTTTAATAAACTCACGTTTCACATCCCAAATGTGATTTTTAACTTTTGGGATGTGGGATGTTGTTTGGGATTTTTTTTTCAGATGAAATGGCTTTTCAAAAGGACTTTTAAATGGGTTTAAAACTAAAAAAATAGGAAGCAACATTTGGGAGTTTTTGAAACACAAATCAGACAATGTGAGCATTAATGATTGGTACCTAATATTATAAAAAACTATGATACCCTCATATTTCTCCTTCTTCACGTGCAATCGACACTGGCTTGTCTCATTTTGCATTTTCTCACTCGTGTGTCCGTCAACTGTCTGTTGCTCCTCCTTCTCTCCTCCGCCGTCTAGTCACAGATCCCAAGCTCCTCATCTCCAGCATCTAGGCACCAGCGGTGGCCTTCTCATAAGTTGCCTCTACTTCCTGTGGCGGCAAACACGCCTGGCTCTCCATTGGCTCGAAACCGGCAGATTCCTTGTCTGCCTCCTTCCCTTATTCATCTCTTTTATTCGCAATCACCTCTCCCGACAAGCCAAGCCCTTTGTCTCCGTCAACGTGTGCCTGCTCCTTTTAGCCTTCATCATCGGTGTTCTCACCGACCTCGACGATTACCTCCATGCTTATGGCTTAACTCGCCTCCCCATCTCCACATCCGCTCTGATCATCACTACCCAGTTGGCTTTCACCGTTGCCTTTGCCTTCCTTCTCATCAGGAGAAAGTTCACCCTTTTCTCCATAAATGCTGTCATCTTGCTCACCACTGGAGTTGGTGTGTTGGCTCTTCATTCATCTGGAGATCACCCCCAAGGCGAGTCCACCAAGTAATACGTGCTGGGGTTCGTATTAACACTAGCAGCTTCTAACAGAGAGATGAATAGAGTTTGGAATTCTATTAGAGATCAAATTGTATATTATAGATTGAATCATTAATATGTAATTATTCAATATTAATGAATATTTAATTATTTATTGCATATTTTTTTCCAAAATTAAATTTTATATTTTTTTTTTCTTATTATTTAACATTTTAAATTTTATGTTATTTTAAATTTGTTTCACACATTTTTAAACATTGCTAATATATTATATTTGTATAATAAAAATAAATTTATTATAAATTAATGTCTTTTTTGGTCATTACATATTAAAAGTACATTTCAAAAGATAATTTTTTATTAATCCAAACAACTTTTAATTTGTCAATTTGACTTTTGAAATATATATTCAAATACAAATTTCGTTTCAATAATTGACTTTCACCAAACTGATTTTTATCAAATAAATTTTCATCTAATTAACTTTTGATAAACTGAAAACCAAACACACACTTAGTTATTACTGTACTTCCTTTTGTCTTATATATGAGTACCCTATATGATCGTTTGGGCCTAACTGATGGAGACAAGTTTACCTCGACCTAATATCCCGTTTCTGGCCCAAAAAAATCCAAATATAATGGAACAAGTTTATCTTGTGAAAATAAATTTCCATTTTCTGAAAAGAAATTTTTAAAAAATGGAATACATATTTATTGAATTTTATAATCTTGTTTATAAAAATAATAATAAAGGATATGACTGTTTCTCCTGCAACAAAAATATGGAGGGAGCACATTTGATAGATAAAACATTTTTAAAGACGATACATTTCTAAATATAAATTGAGATTTTCTTTCTTTTTCAAACTATATCAACATAATTTAATGACCTTTTCTTAATTCTAATGAAATAATTAAAAATGATTTGTCCATAAAACTGACTAATATATCCGATTGTTTTTGGTCCCAAGTATAAAAGCCCATGTGATGTGCCCGACACGGCCTCACCCACCAAATTATGTCCGTTTACAAGAGCAAGGGGTTGGGAGTCAAGTCCATTTCAATAATTCATTAATTAAATTAACGGACCACAATGCTCCTGATGGACCACTCTCTCTTTCACATTAGATTTTCAATCTGTTTAGTACCACAAACATTAAATAAGTAATCAAATTTAATTATTAACATGTCTCAAAATTCATAGAACAATAAAAGAAACCACAATTATATTAAAAAACAATGGTAATATTATAAAAAATTTGAATAATTAATGTCTCATTGTTGTTCAAAAGTCATAAGACTTGCCTTTCCTTTTTTTTTTTTGTTTGGGATTTTCTTCAAGTCCACATGCCTAACTAATAGGTTATATCAAGGAATTGTGTGTTCCTTTAATTGTTGACTGAAAGTTTTCTTTAGTTCTAATAAATTGATTAATTTTGGCCAAAAAAATAACAATAAATAAATTGATTAGTTTGGATGGAACTTCATTTATAACTTTCTAATAATTTGATTGAAATTTTATTATTTGCCAAAAGCTTTACTTTTTCCTAGAGGCGGTATATAGGCCAAGCTTGACATGTTAGCTTGAATAAACTTAAAAAATCTTCAGGTCAGGCTTGATAATTTAGAAAATTTTCTTTACTCCAACCTTATTTGGGCCACCAGAATAAACCGACAAAAACCCGGGCCAAATTTAACCCCGACCATGCTTAGCTTGAATATCCAAATTTATTTTTTTATTATTTGTGAAATAACATAAAAATAAGATAAAAATTGAAAATATTAAATTTTTAAAAATAAAATTTGAAATTACAAAAAATAAAATAAAATTTAATAATTTGAGTATTTAGGCCAGCCTACAAGCTTGAGGGGTTAGAGTCAGATTTGACTATATGAGCTTTTTATATATTAGGATATTTTAAACTCGATTTCAATAAACCCAACCCAAATTAAGTTAGACCTAAATAGGTCTGGCTATACCAACTCTATTTTTTTGCCTTGGTTTGGATGGATCGAACGAAAAATAAGAAAAAAGAAAAACAAGAAAACTAGAAAAGAAAGCCTGTTTGGTTTTTGTTTTTAAAAACAGTTTTATAATACAGTTTTCAAAACTATTTTTAAAACAAAATAAATAAAAATTTGTTTAGTTATATCAATTAAAAAAAGGTTGTAGAATTAAAAAAAAATTGATAGTGATGGTTATATACAGTTAATGATGATGATTAATAATAAAAATTAATTAATAATTATAATTTTTAATAGTCAAATGTAATGTTTTTAAAAATAAAAATAAAATAAAATAAATTAAAGTTGGTTCTATTTTTTATTTCTAAAAACAAAAAATTAAAATAGTTTTGAAATAGTTAAATAAAAAACACTTAGCCAAACAAATTTTAAAATTTTTCTATTTTTAAAAATAAAAAATGGTTTTTAAAAATTGAAAACAAACAAGCTTGAAAACTCTTCAAAATAGTAACTTTTTTTAACTACTTTTGAAAATTTTTTCTCCTAGGCCTTGTTTGGTGTGTGTGAGAATCCTAAATGCAAAAACAAATTGGACATGAAATTTGAATTTTAGCATGTTTGGTAAAGTAATATCTGGAATTTTCTAGAATCTCAATTCTAACAAAAAAGTTAGAATCAAATTCCATCAAAACCATCATAGAATTGGTTTAATTTCCATGGAATCCTCTCTTGGACATTTTGGTCTTCACCATCATCTCTTTCATCTTACATCTTACTCCAAACCAACATATTTGCCTTCTCACTCATGAGTTGCTGAAGCTTCTTGGCCTTTGCTAGTTTCATTTAGAGAAGCATTAGCGTCAATCGCTCAAATTGTAGCCATCCTATCGCTAACCTCATCGAGTACAACTTTGTTGATGGTAATCGGAGGGTAGAGTGGAGCAATCAAGGCATTCCCAACTGAACTATCTCCACAATGGTAGTTGGAGGATTAGAGTGGCAACTAACATGCCATTAGGTTGTGTAAAAGGGCAATGATCGATGAAGAGGGGTTAAAGTTATGTAGGCTTGATGATAACGCTCATCTTGAAATTGAAGAACTTGAAAAAGTATAAGAATAAGGTACCTATGTGATGGTTTTAGATTGTAGTTTCTCTAGTCTTTGTTCATGGAAGAAATGATTTTCTCTTCATACATTAGCATGGCTTACAAATCATTTAGGCACCATCACAGTCACAAGGATGAGTTTTTTTTTTTTTTAAAAAATTGAAATGGACCCTTTGGTCTTTTTCTATTTTAAATAAATATTTATATTAAAATTATGTTAGAATTTCATTATCATATCAAATACACTTTTAAAATTTAATTCTATTTTAATTTTAATTTTAATTTTGATTCTATCAAAAATTCTTTTATCATACTGGATGAGGCATTAGTTTTTTTTCTCCTCTTTATTTTCTTTCTACCTTTCCCTCTATCCAATCCAAACTAAGCCTTTATTTCATTATATATACTCTTTCATGTTCTTAATGTAATACAAAGTTAACCCATTTTGTATTTATTGAAAAATACTCCATTCAATTTCTATTATAAAACATTTTTAATACTAATTTACTGGTACTAAAGAGAAAAAATTAAATCATTAATTTTGTCTTAAACAAGAATAAATTTCCAATTGTACTCATATTTAAATGAAAAATTTTTAAAATTACATTAATTTTTTTCTCACGGTGAAGGAGTTTAAATAAGGGTTATATTGAAAAATTTAATTAATATCATATCAATTGTTTCATATTAAGGACCATCAATCTATTTTAGATAATGCTTTATAATAAAATTAGGAGAAAGTATTAGTTATATCTTTAAAATTGTAAAAAAAATGTATATATCTTTTTAATTTTTCCCTCCTTTATCATTAATAATCATAATAATAACAATAATATAAAACTATTTTAAAAAATTTGCCTTACATTAAAAACAGGATGGATTACACTTCATGTTTAATATACTCCATTCATTTTTATTTATATAAAAAATATCACTTTTAAATTATTTTTTAATGAGCAAAATTAAATTTTAATAATAGGCATTTATTACAAATTTTTTAAATTATTTCTCATAATTTTAATTATTTTAATCATAAAAATAATTAATGAATGTTTGATTAAAACAATTAATAAAATTTATTGTAGTTAAATTATTTTATTTTTATACTTAATTAATATAATTAATTATTTTTTAAATGCATGATTTTAATAAATAAAAATGAAGGGAGTATTGGTTTTATTTATTTAAATTTTTTTTTTCCCGGATACGTATACTATTCTTTTACATGGGACAGACCTATTCGTGATAGTTGATAAAATACTGGCATCTCTTACAACGAGTGAGAGATTATTTCGGATAGGGGTGGTAAAAACGAGTGGACTGGTTTCAGAGCTCCGGCGCACCTTCCAAAATATTATGGCAAAAACAATGATAGGCTCCACGCACAAGCTCAAACATGGCTTCTTTCCTCTCCTCAGCCATTTCTAGCTCCACCCTCCCCCTTCCCTTCTCAAGAGCTTTCTCTGTCATGGCCTCCGGCGGCGTCACTACCCCCACACAGGTTGTTCCCGCCGTCATCGTCGGTGGCGGACGAGTCGGAAGGGCCTTGCAAGACATGGGCTCCGGCCATGACTTTCTCGTCAAGAGAGGAGACCCTGTGCCCCTCGATTTTCAAGGCCCTATCTTGGTCTGCACAAGGAACGACGATCTCGATCAAGTTCTTGAAGCTACTCCACGATCTAGATGGAGTGGTAACTAAGACTTCCTTGTTATTCCAGTCCACTTCAATTTGTGATTTAATTATATCATTTAAGCTCGGATTTCGATGTTGTTTCTGTTTTCTGCGAGGAGAGCCCATGTGCGTTATACTGTTGAGCAGAATAGCACGTACTTCTCCTTACCCCAAAAAAGAAAAAAGAAAAAAGGAAGGAATATCATTAGCATGCACTTCTCTGAGCGTATTAGCCGATGGTAGAATTTAGTAATTTCTTCGGAAAATACTTGATATCTTATTATCATTCCCAGATTTGTCTAGTTATCCTGTTATCGTTTTAATAATTTCTTTTGGTTTATGAGCTATTATGTGGCTGCTCTGCTACTTGTCTCTGTATTTCTACGGTGAATTATTGTTCCTTGTTAATTTTACTAGTTATGTATTAACGAGAGTTTGAAAATGTAGCAGATTTGGTGTTTTTCCAGAATGGAATGCTTGATCCATGGCTTGAAAGTAAAGGCTTAAATAATGCAGACCAAGTATTGGCATATTTCGCTGTGTCAAAACTTGGAGAAGCCCCTATTGATGGTAAGACTGATACTAATCCTGAAGGGCTTACAGCTGCTTATGGGAAGTGGGCATCTGCTGTGGCGGGACGACTACTTGCTGGAGGCCTCTCTTGCAAGGTATTATATATTGGATATTTACTTGTTTTCATTATGAATAATGTATTGTTAGCTTTCTTTTCTGGTGTTTCTTTACTGGCTGAAGTCTTGTAAAGCTAAAATTATAGCATTTCATGCATAATTGTTAAAAGGAAATATTATAATACGACTAATAATTTGTCATATACTGATCTGTGTCAAAAAAAAAAAAAAAAGCCAGGTTCTTGAAAAGGAAGCATTTCAGAAGCAGATGTTAGAGAAGCTAATATGGATTTGTTCATTCATGCTTGTTGGAGCACGTAATGGAGGGGTGTCTGTAGGTGCTGTGGAAAAAGAATTCCGCTCTGATGTAAGTTTGCAGTCTGACTATTTCTCCAAGACATTGCTTGCTCTGTCAATTAACCGCTTGACAATTCTCCCAAGATATAAGATGATATGGGTGGACGAGGATACAATTACACTACTGGCTTGACCTGCACATTAGTGGATGTAAATCCATCTTTTTTATTTTTATTCAATTATTTTTTAATTTTTAATTCTTTATGAAATGTCGTAATTTCAAGAAAGTCAGTAATGTGTCAGTTGAAGTTATCCTATAGTTGTTGCCGAGAAAATAAAAAGAAGTTATCCTTAGTTAGCCGATGATGTTTAGTGTAATTTCAAGACACAATGGGGGATGCATGTGTGCGCATAGTGGGTGGAAGTTAAGTTAAAGAGGCTACATTAGCTACATTAGTATAGACTTGTCACTGAATGGATTAACATTAGGTTAAAAAAAGGTAATCAGTAAATTGTTTCATTTTTTAATGCTATTGTGTATTTAGGGGATCTTTGTCTTTCTATTTCTAATATCTTGCTTTTGGTCCAGGATACAAGTTTTTCTTTTGTATTTGTTTCTGGTGGTGCATGATTAGAAACTAATGCCTCCTGTCATCCACAAATAGTGGCGTGTTCTTTATTTTATTTTTTATTGCTGACTACTGAGCCATGAGCATATGAATTTTGCATTTTTGTTTGTGACCTTAATATGAAGGAAGGATATGCTACATACCTGTTATATGGAATTCTTCTAGGATGTCAAGAAGTGCAATGACTAACTTGGCTCCAGGGAAAAAGGTAAAATAAGAAGGAAAAAATGAAAAGAAAAATAATTGAGGAGAGGTACATATTATCATTTTGGCATATTTAATTTCTGTATGCTAGTAGGATTACAAATTAAATGGTGAATATGAGTGTTAGTTGAAATCAGGATTGCATGGGTTAAGTTCAATGTTTCAATTTATTTGCTAGGGTTGGTTTGAGGGGATGGATCTTGGATTCACTTTTTGTCAAATTGCATGAACTGATAGAGTTGACCACTTGATTCTGGATTTAATAGTCAGATTTGCATGGATTAAGCTCAATCTTTCCTTCTATTTGGCTAGGATTGATCACTTGATTTGGAGGGTCAATCCTAGATCCATTTTATGATGAGTTTGACCTAAATGCATGTCCTAATAATGCACTGGATTCCAGAGATGAATTGTGCTTTGCAGTCAAATTTGGCATGATAATTGAGGCCAAAAGAAAAAGGAACATTTTATTTTCTAGAAATGAATTATGGATAACATGTCTCTGACTAATATTCATAATGATTTTAGGTTTCCAAGCTTATAGAACAACTAGCATCAGCAGCAGCAGGCGAAAAGGGTTTAACATTCGACGAAGGCATGGTTGAGCGTTTATGTGCATATTCCCGAGCTGTTGCCCACTTTCCCACTGCAGTGAAGGAGGTAAAAGAAGACAAATTATTAGCATACATTTTTTGAAATTCCATGGTGAAGTTACCAACTTGTTGGTGTATTTACAGTTCAAATGGAGAAATGGTTGGTTTTATTCTATCTCTGAGAAGGCTATGGCACAAGGAAAACCTGACCCATGTCCTCTGCATACCCAGTGGCTAAAAGAGTTAAAGGTTGTTTAGAGCTTGAGGCCTCATGTATCCTCTGGTTTGCGGGATCAGTAGTTTTGTTAGTTAGTTGGGATACCATTTTGCTTGTGCGTTCACATTTTGCTTAAAATTATTAAGATCCTTGAAAGAATTTAGATCAAACAATTCTGATTCTCAAGATCTTTTATCACAATTTCCTTAGAGTGCCAAAGAGATACAAGAAATGGGAGTACGTCAAGTGACACACGAGGGTCAATTTCATTAGAAGCATGCAAGTACAATTGGTGCTCCATCAAATAGAGGGAAAAGCAAAGTAGAACTAGCCTAAGGAGCCTAAGCCGGTATAACATGCCGAGTGAACTTGGGTGATGCTAGGTCAACATTTGAGTTTTGCATTGAACAAGTAGATTTTGAGGTTGAATCGTTGAAGTGTTGAAAGACTTTTAAGTGACATGCTCATTGCCTATTTATAGAAGAGGATAGTGGCGTGCTCCTTCAATTTTGAATTTCAGCTTGAAGGGAGTAGGTAATTTTTCCGCATCATTAGTTAGAAGAGGATGCTGACTCATCGTGTGGAGAGCTGTGGGCAAGAGCACCACATATGTCGGGTAGTAGGATGAGTGGATGAGAACAGATTGTGATGCCCCTAAATGCAATGTTTCACTTAGTTCTATCAAAGCAGGCCCTTGACCTGGTGGCTGGTGTGCCAAACCAGTCCAAATACTTGTATTCCTAATTCCTTTAACAATTAACTAGCATAAGTTCATCTCCAATCCATACCCATTAGTTGAGAATGAAATTTGGAAAAGTTTTCCATAAATAATTCTAAAACAGACAAATTAAACTTGGTTTAATGAGACACAAGATGTTAAACGAAAGTGAAGGCTCAAATATTTCACATATAGTAAATTGCTTAGTTTGCCTATTCAATATCCTAATAGCTACGTGAAAAGATTGATGGAGTCTCCCATAAAAATGGAATCGTTCAATAATTTTTCAACAATCAAAATTACTAATAATAACATCAATATTATCTAGATTGGAGGATGATTTTTTTTTTTTTTTTTCCGGATTACCCAATGTATTCTCATAAATGATAGCTGTGAGATTAATTTTTGAAAAATTTAAATATCATGTAAGGATTTGTTTTCTTCCAAGTAAGGCTTTTTCATACATATTTTTAAGAGTTGAACCTTATAATAATGTTTAAGGGATTCATACTACTATTACTTGTGTCACATCCACTTGATGACCGGAGGATGATTCGATAACAAATAAATCATAAAAAAAGACAAAGGGAATTTGGAAAGCCCAATTTAGCTTTTAAAAAAGAGTTCGCATCTACAAATTGATATTCAAAGAAAATTTATGTCCAAAAAATTAAGGGAAGCTTAATTCAATTGGTTGAGAGAATTAACTTAACTTATCTTGAAGTTTTAAATTTGAATCTTGCAGTATGTAATCACATTAAATAAATATATTAAAGATATTTTTAAAATATCTGTGAAGCTGTCATTGATAATAAAAATTTCGCACAATAAGGGTTTGGTTAGTTTGAGCAAGAGTTGGTAATAGCTCCAGACATCAAAGACTTGTGAATTTAGATGTGTTCACTAATGTTTATATATATATATATGTGTGTGTGTGTGTGTGTGTATTTGTTTCCCAAGGTATTGTCACATCCAATAGCTATGAGATAATGCTAATAATGCTTATATTTTTAGGTGTCAAAGCTTATGAAAGAACTAACATCAGCAACAACGGGAGAAAAAGGGTCTACCTCTAATATTCGATGAAAACATGGGAGAGCTCAATTGTGGGAAAAGATGAGTTTCTTTTCTGTTTTTTTCCCCAAATTAATCATTCATAATAAACTTATAAAAAATGTATGTAATCAGGCAGAATGTCAGAGTATCCAAAAAAGAAAAAAACGTGCGAGGATCTGCCCCCCAAAAAAAAGAGTACGCGAAATGTCATAGAGCATCTAAGAGTGTTTATAGGCTCGATTTAATTTAGTTTTAAGCAAAAATTAAACCAAATCGAACCATTTGGTTTACTCATAACTAGAACTTAATCGGTTTTTATAAAGCTCAATTTAGTTTGATTTAATTTTTAGTTTGGTTAAAGTTTAGATCAGGCTTAAATGCACTTATTTATTTTTTTTTTTTTTTTCCATCTTCATAATGGTGCTATGTATTAAAATTAAATCTAATTCTTTTTGGCTCTTTTTTTTCATAAATAGAGGTATAAAAACATAATAAAATTTCAATGTGATAATGATAATTAATCATAAAAATTGATATAATTTTTTAAGATTAGAATTATTTAATATTATGCATTTCCATTCAAGTCTTTTGAAAATGTTTATCTATGTATCTATATTTTAATAAATAATAAAAAACTTATTATACAAAATTCAAAACAAAATGCTTCTTGTAGATAAATTGAATACTGAGACTTTCAAATTGTAAATAATTAAATGATGGTCATAGCATGATTATTATAATTATTTAATATTATGCATTTTCATTCAAGTCCTTTAAAAATGTTTATCTATTATTATATAAATTCAAAATAAAATACTTCTTGTAGACAAATGGTTATATATTTTATAAATAAATAATATTTTTTAATCAGGTTTGGATCAATTTCTAATACTCAAAACTGAACTTAAACCGAACTAATATATTCTCATATCATAAAAACTAAAGCAGACTTGATTGTTGTTTTGTTTTGATCGGTTTCCTTTGATTTGGGTTGGTTTGGATCGGTCTTCTCAGTTTGGATTGATTTTGAACACCTTTAAGAGCACCCGCCAAAAATGCATCGTTGTAACCTCTAATAAATTGCAATCCCTTCTACTCCTTATTTAACCAATACATAATTATTTTACCCTATGCATTAAAAATATAAATTTGAGAATGGTTAAAGTATATTTTTAGTTCTCTAATTGTATATAAAGTTTTAATTTGATCCTTTAATTTTATAAAATATTTTTTTTAGTTCTTTAACTCTAACATCGTTAGTTCTAAATGATTATTTTTTGTTTCAATTATTGTTATTTTAACAAAATTAAACTTAATATGTCAATATTTTAAAATGTTTTATCAATATTTAAAAGTTTAATATAAATTTGTTAGGATAAAATTAATAATGTTAGAGTTAAATGACTAAAAAGATACTTTATAAAATTAAAAAATTAAAATAAAACATTGTATAAAATAAAAAAACTAAATGTATACTTTACCAATTTTATAAGTATGATCCAAATAATTATTGTTTAACCGTTGACGAATTATTAGTCAATGAATGCGCGATGGTAAATCAAGGACTAGTCAATTGCTTGCTGGTAACCAATCAACATTGCCCGATGGTCAACAGTCAATTAACCGCAGCTCAAGGTGGTCAATAGATCAATGCCTTTTTCCAAACTACCCCCGAGTCCCTTGAGGTCTGCTAATAATAAATGAAATTTAGGGGCCAATCTGTATTTAATTTTCCTACTTGAGACATATCAAAAATTTTCCCCTTACAAAATTTGCAATAATCACAGACATACTTCAACTTTAAATTCAAACTACCCATTTCCAGGCCACCTTATTTGTCAGCCAAGGAAGAATATATTTGGTAGAAATACTTTTGATTTGAGTTGACCAAAATATATTGTTTGACAAGGGACTAAAATGTCTTAACAGACTCAATTATTCATTTAAAGTTTGGCTTACATCTACTAATTTTTTTAGTTGAAACAACTAATTTAATATAATTCACTCGACAATCGCATTCAACCAGTGTCACTCCATTGGTTTGAATATTTCTTCCCAACTACAATCACACTTGGAAGTTACACATTATTACCAAATAACCTTGTTATCCAATCACCCCTAGTTTTTAAATTAGAATAAGTGCCCGTTTGGATAAGGAGAAAATGCGCGTTTTGAACTCAAAATCAATTTTTTTTTGTCAATTTATCCAAACAGTCGAAAATGATCAAAAATTAATTATGGGCGAAAACGCACGTTTTTCCAGAAGCTCCCTCCTTCCGCTTTCTACCAAAAGTTTGTGAAAAACATTGGGGAAAATTACAAAACAGGCCCAAAAAAAATTACAAAGAAAACACATAATTTAATAAAAAAAAATTAAACTCTTCTTTTTCTTTTTTTTCCTTAATAAAATTTAAACTTTATATATTTAAAAAATTATATTTGATATTTAAAATTAAATTATATAGTATTTATATAGTTAAAAATTAATTTTAATTAAATTATCCAAATATCTTCAATTCTGTTAAAATCAATTTTAAAAAACAGTATCCAAACAGATTACGTTATAACATAATCAATTATGATTAAAATCTACCACTTAATCAATTATTTTTAATCCATTATACTCAACTGAAATCCAAACGGACCCTAACTAATCCAAGCTCTTCAAGCAAGTCCAAAAATGTCAAACAGAATATCCCATCATGAAGCCCGTGATAAATCTCCTAAATCTATTCTTTCGAAGAAATCATTGACCTGGGATCTCATCACTGGAACAAATAGAACTAGCATTCAAATATGAACAACCGTTTCACTTAGCTTTAGAAGATAATGTAACAAGCCTTCCATCATGCCATTTGTTTTCACTGTAAATTTAAGTACACCAGAAGATCTTTTTTATTTAACTTTAAATAATTATTTTCTAGCAAGAACTTGCATGTGCTCCATATTTGACTTGAAGGATGGATGCAAGGACAATGACTGCATGGAAAGTTCTGCTTCGGATCTTCTTTCATGATTGCAATATTTTTTCAGCAATGGGAAAGGAGGGAGCTATGTCAACAGGTACCTAAAATATACAACAAAAAGACTATTTAGTTATAGTCGAAAGTGCAGCATCTAAATTATAACTTTTCACTTCAATAAAACAACTCTTATGCAATGTTTGGTAGGTAGAAAGGTGCTTTCTAGAAAGGAAATGGTAAATCCAGTTATCTCATTTTGTTTCTAGGTACATTTCTTATTTTCTTTCTAAAAAATATTTTTCCATGTATCAAACATGCACGTAGTTTTTTATGTGTAGCATTGAGCAGCAGGTATTCTTTTGTAAACTAGCTTTCTCAATACTGCTTTGTATGGAAAAAGAAAAATTAATTATTATGAGGATACTTATGAGAATACCATTATTTCTTTCAATAATATACAGAATTAATTACAAGGATTGTGCATCATGCCATCATCTGTTGATACTTCACAATCATTATCATTAATCAATGTTTAAGTGAGGCAATATCATGATAATGTTAAAAGAATTAATCACGTGAATTTCTTGCTTTATTTTCAGCTCCTTCTGTAGGATGCTAAGATACACTTATACTTCAAATTTGGCAAAATAAGAACAAGAAACATATAACTTGATTGTCAAAAAGCATTGTCCCACTGCACATCAACCTATCAGGTTCGCAAATAACAGAGTACTATAATTACCTGAACAAGCTCCAACTTATTCAAAGAAACTTTCAACGGCTCTGTGAGCACACCATATTTATTAAGAAGCAATCCTGCAGCCTCTTTGTCACCTTTGGCTTGTATGGTCAGTATCTCCCTGCTCAAACTCTCAACTGCTCCTTCAATCTTTGAAGAAACAAAATACAATTACGGCACCAATCTACTAAGTCAGATAAATGACAGAGAGGGAGAGAGACTTTAAGTCATTTATACCTTGGAAAAATCAACTGAAAATGTGTCGTCACTATGCAAGATAAATGCCCCTTTCTCAAATAACCAGT